CTTGTATTTGCCTAGTTTATTGATAAGAATATCATGCAAGACTGTATCAAATGCCTTACTAAAGTCTAGGTATACCACATCCACAGCTTCTCCCTTATCCACAAGACTCGTTATCCTATCGAAGAAAGCTATCAGATTGGTTTGACATGATTTGTTCTTTACATGGATGGGCGGAAGGGTTTAAAATGGGCTGCCCTGTGCGATGAAGCCCCCTTTTACACGGATCAGGCTGGGGCAGCATTGACCCTCCCTCCCCTTTAGGTGGTGAAATACCAGGTTTGGTCAAGACCTGCCGTGGGCATTGCGCTAGCCTCCCCTTTTTGGGAGGAGGGGCTGGGAAGGAATTTTTCCCTCACCACCAGATTGATCTAAGTGGAGTTGGGGGTTTTGACCTTACCCACAGCAGGTTTGGGGAGGGCTTTGTTGATGTGAGGCATGAAGGGAGTTAAGCTATGATGTCACAACTCATTCAGTAATTGTGAGGCAGCTGTCACATGCAGGTACTCCCCAGGGAAGGTACAGTGACCGGATAAATGGTTTGGTAAAGGACTTAAAGGAGGTGTTTGTTAAAGGAACAGAACTAGGGAGGGCAGGGGGGGCTCCTATGAATGGTGCAGCAGGGGCCAACCCTCCTTTCTTAGCCCTCTTATTGGGGGGGTGGCTGGTAAGGTCCTAGCAATGGGTTGGCTGGGGGACCTGGATTGAAAAAGAAGGGAGGTTGGCGGAACCCCCACCAGTAGTTACTGAATGAACATGGGATTACCTGCACTATGTACACTTATCTGCAGGGTAGTCCCAGACATCTAATAATAAGGGTGCGGCTTGATTAAAACCATATGAATGTCTCCTTATAGCTGGACAATCTGATTTTCCTCTTGAAGGGATAGTTTAGAAGTCTAATCTTTCAAAAGTTTCCAATTTTTTTATAAATAAGATGTAGGGTTGCCAGGTGTCCAGTTTTCAACTGGAACGCCTGGTCAAAAAGGGTCCCTGGCAGCTCTGGTCAGCACTGCTGACCGGGTCGTTAAAAGTCCGGTCGGCGGTGCTGCAGGGCTAAGGCAGGCTAGTCCCTACCTGTTCTGGCACCGTGCTGTGCCCTGGAAGCAGCCAGCAGGTCCGGCTCCTAGCCGGGGAGGCCATGGGGCTCCGTGCTCTGCCCCCGCCCCAAGAACTGGCTCCGCACTCCCAACTGGCTGGGACCTGCGGCCAGTGGGAGCTGGGGGGAGGGGGGGCAGTGCCTGCAGGTAAGAGCAACATGTGGAGCCTCCTGGCCCCCCTGTCTAGGAGCTGGACCTGCTGCTTGCCGCTTCTGGGGCGCAGCGCGGCGCCAGGATAGGCAGGGAGTCTGCCTGCTGTGCTGCTGACCAGGAGCCGCCTGAGATAAGCCCGCCCCAACCCCGAGCCCCAACCCCTTGCCCTGAGCCCCCCAAACCCAGAGCCCCCTCCTACACTCCAAACCCCTCATCCCCGGCCCCACCCCAGAGCCTGCACCTCCAGCTGGAGTCTTCCACCCCCCCCCGACACTCTAACCTTCTGCCCCGGCCCAGAGCCCCTTCCCACACCCTGAACCCCATATCAGTTACTTTTCCAAATAGTTTTAAGTAAAATAAAGATTTGAAACTGAGACAAGACCTGTATTTCATTTATGGGATGCCAAAAGATTCAAATAAATGTATTCTCTTTTGAATCTATTCCTTCCACATAAAAGTGTTTGTTTATTTTAACAGCAGGGAAATCTCGTTTGGTACAATCTTGTGGTAGCAATGCTTGAATTGCAAATTTTTTTTTGCTGGTATTTCACATACAGTAGATCTTAAGTGTACAACAATCTTCGGAGGGCCTTCATTATTGTAGGGAATTGATCAGGTACAATGTTATTGGGCAATTACATTCTCTCTCAACGTATTCAGAATAGTGTTTCAGCTGATTCAGATAAAAAGTCATTGGTGTGACTGGTGTTGAATAAAGAAAACAAACATGAAAATTGGTGTAATTACTTGACAGAATTCTTAAATAGCTAGCTTCTAAGCTGTAGAATTTGGGGGACCTCGATGGTAATGTATTTATTACTGTTTAT